TGTTATTATCATTGGTTCTGACTGCATTTATAAATTCAAATATATTCTATGGAAAACATGCACGAAAAGATTATTTCTTGTACTCATTTGGTAGCAAATTACGTCCTTATTTAATTTTATATTTGAAGAAAGGGGATCCTGCAATTTTTTAAAAAATTTCTAGTTATGAGCTTTTATACGATTGCGAGGTGTTCATTCATAATACATCGTATCCGTCAACGTTTTAATGCTGCCTATACCGCATAAAGCATACTCCATACATATTGCAATACTTATTGAAAACTGTGTGACTTCTTCCTCAAACTGTAGACAAAACGTACTTTTCCTTAGACAGGATGTACAAAATGCGCAATTTGTAAACCTTGAATTCGAGTGTAGCAGCCAGTAGGTTTCAAAATTTTTCGGCAATTTAAAAACTTTTTCATAACCGAAAGATACCCTTTCTTTAAGCATAAAATTTAAAAAAGGCGAGATTTGCTACCAAACGAGAAAAAGAAGTAATTTTTTCGTGCATGTTTTCCATAAAATATATGTGAATTTATAAAGGCAGTCAAAATCAATGATAAAAACGCATGCTGTTTAAGTAGTTCCTTTTAAAGTAAATGCGTTTTGTTAGTGGTCAGAACGAAACTCCTTAAAAATCCCGCATCCTATCATGTCTGTAATAACTTCAGAATAGGCTACACGATAATCGCAAGCTGAGTCAATGCCGATTAGCGAAAGAGTACCAATCTTTCGCATATGTCGGCACGTTGCACGATTTCTGACGCGTAATGTACATTAACATTTCGATATCTGCGCCAGATTATTGTTTTGCCTTACCAAAACTGACTCGAAAGTCGAAATCCAGAAGCTACTAGCAAATACGTATTTCGAAAGCGGAACATTTCAGTCAGAGCGCATTTCAGCAAAAGATACTGTAGCGTCTAAGCAGTGGTTGTGCTTCGAATCATCAGATAAGACAGAAGTCGCTGGAATGAGGGATTTATTGTGTGCTGTGGTGTTTGGCAACCTCTAAGACAAACAGGGAAGACGACTGTACGACCCTGTCAGTGCCAAAGTTTACGACGTCTGCCGCATGTTATTGATCTCTTAAATCGAAAGGTTGGGAGGGGGTTGTATGCCTCTAATGGGATATATAAATGGCGTACTGTCGCCGCTAGAGGTAGAACTTACGCGTCATGCGATTTTAGCAGCCGGAGACCAATCCAGGCATTGACTACGGTCCTGCAGTCCGCGACCTTTGTATTGAAGTCTCCTAGGACGGCCAAGGCCATCGCACGAATGAGCCTCAGGCGAAAGGCTGTGTGCTCCACTGGTGATGATGGAACAGAATATCGATAAACTGGTTGATGCAGAACACTGGCCGAGATTAGCATCACCTCAATAGAAATTGCTCTATTTGTTGCTAAAATAAGTATCATTTAGGCGGGGATTTAAGGGTGATTTATGTCAACCAGGACCGCTAATTCAAAGCTTATAAGAGTGCAACTATTTGCTGTTTTGGTACCCCTTCTCTGTTCACTCAGCGCTGGCTTTGGTTGGTAAAAGAACTCGGGTATCCATTAGCTCGAAAGATGTCATACGTTCACTCGGCGACGGGTAACAAAACAGCAACTCGAAGTCTGGAGGGCCATGCCCTATGTAAAGGGAGTCTCCGAAGCAGTTTCTCGACTGTTACAACCCGTTGGAGTAGTCATAGCCCATCGAGGTCAGGCGACATTACGCCGCCGAGTGGTGCAAACTAAAAACAGACTGCCCCTACCGAAACGTCCGCAGTTGTCTGCAAAATAAGTTGCAAAGATGGAGACTGTAATTAAGTTGGAGAAACAGGGCGCAAATTGCAGACCCGCATACAGGAACACAAAGTGGCGGCCCGGAGACTAGATCCTAACTCGCAGCTCTCAACACATATCGCAGAGACTGGCCACGACTTCAATACTCAATGAACGACCATCGTAGGCTGAGGAGCCTCAAAAGCTGAAAGACTGACGCTTGGGGCATGGTACTTAGATGCCAACTCTGTCAACAGGCATCTGGACCTCCCAGCGGCCTACAAAGTCCTTCGCCATTACGTAAATAAAAGGCAGGACACGGTCAAACCGAAGTCAGGATTTGCAGACGAAGACGGCCCTGTGACGAAAACATCGGAAGAGGGGGCAGGATTACCGGCATCCTTGAGCGTGGGGACGAAACAGAACACCAACTGCCTCCCATCAAGCCAAAATCCACACGCAGGGCCAAACAGTGAACGGAGAATAGTCAATCAGCCCATGGCCAACACGCAGAGCCGCAACTTTAAACTTGCTGATCGATAAAGCTTGTATTCGCTTCGACAAACGGCAGCCGGCCCAGCTGTCCGAAACGCCAGCAAACCTACAAATCTGTTTCGGTGAGCAGAAAATGGACTCTAACCTCAAACATTTTGACATTTCAAGGCCCAACATATACTCGTGTAAGTAGCTTAGCGTAACTCATCAGAGAGAAGTGTAACGGAGGAACCTACCTTCTTTTGTTATGGCCGAAAGTTCTTCCTTTGAGATCTTCGCATGCAGTTGTCGCGATGCTTCGTCTTCAGGGGAGGGTCCTATGGATCAGAGTGGGTATTTGTATTTGTAATTAGTAGTAGCGGCAACAGAAGCAGTGAATGTAAATGTTTTATGGAATAATTACATCGCTCCTATATTCCCTACGGAAAACCACTAACCGTACACAGAGTAAGCACAGTTTGTAAAACTATTTAAGCACAATAATTCAACTTTCCATAACAGGTCTAACGGCCGGTCCTTCCTAATATATTACCGTTAATTAGGGGATTGCCGCAGGGTAGAGTAAACTCGACTTCTCGTGATTTCTAATCCACATTTAATGTCCTTCCAAGACTTTGCATGTTAAAACATACTTATTAATACCACGAAATTGACTGATGAAGCGACCAAAACAGAAAGCCTATTCTCTTTTTCCTCAACGTTGCTTCGGTCTCTTACACTTTTTTGATTCCGTTTTGTCCCTGTCATATTCATGTGAGCTTGGGTGTTCCACATAACAGTCTACGAGATACGGTCTTGTAGCCGAGATAGGAAAGCGCTCGACTTAATGTTTAGCAGTCGCAACGGGTGAAGTTGAGTCCTTGGTCTCTACAGATGTAAATTAATGCTACATTTAGCCTGGTGGAGGTGCGCCATATAACCAAGTGTGTGTGCGCGCTGTTGCGCAAGGTCTTCTGTCGCTACATTACTACAGCAAATAGGACAGAAACTGAGAAGAAGTAGGTATGATCGCTGAAAGAAGAAGTTGGTAAGGAACTCTCGTAGGGCCCCTACAGTGCGCGCGAATCGCGCTCCACTTCAATACGGGCACCGGGTTTTAAGAGGTAGAATGTGTGGGGCATATTTGGGGACAAATCGGAGCGCACTGATCATGTAACTTAAGAAAGTTATGCGTGTAAGTTGGGGGGTGTTCACTGACCTTAGGCGAGGTCACTAAGGTGCATTTTAATATCGGTACTAACCCCTACTGGACCAACGGCGGGCGCATGTATGTTGGCGAGTGTTCGCTGACCTTGGGCGAGGTCACTGAAGTACATTTTTTTAATAGCACGACCAACCCCAACTGGATGCAGGGAGGGTGAGAGGACAACGGAAGATTTTGGACACTCACCATACTTAAAATTTGTAAGTAAGCAGTTACTCCCGTGGTTGATTTGAAAAGTCAGTTTGCGGTTATTGTACCTGTTGACCTTCGGAGGACCCTTCTACAGTTCAATATCATCGCTAATCTTTACTGCACCAACGGCGGACGCGCGAGAAATTGAAAGGTTTTGAAAATTCACCCCTAATCAAAATTTGTAAGTAAACGGTTATTCTATAAGTTGGCCTTCCATGCACCCCTCTATAGTTTCCTGCCAAGAATTTTATTTGCATGATGTTTCGTAATCCGTCGCGGATTCATCATCAGAAACGGTATCAGACACGGGTAATGCATACACAGAGAATTGCAGTATTTATAGGATACAGCCACTATGCTACTGGACGCTTAGGACAATTAACATATCCCCCTGTCGAGGATAGGTACCCACCCGTGCGCTAATTGCTTGATGGTCGGCGTCCGGATCGCTACTTGCTGAACTTTTATTACCTGTGGTGGACTTGGGCGTGATGATCGGTTGGCCTCCGCGTTCCCTGTGTGGCGAATAGTTTTGGTCAAACTGAGTCTCAGAACCGAATGTGGATTGGGCAGGTCGCTGCATTTTTACATGGACTGCTATTGTCTCTGATGGTGCATCGGTGACGGATTTCGAAACGGCAGGCGAATAAATTCTTTTCCCAGCGGTCACATCTACTTCTCCTCAATTACTTCCTGGGCCTCGCATATTGGCTTGTATTGGCAATGGCAGAAGCTGTTACGTAAATCCTCTCAACAATTTTTCGATGCTCACTCCATCATTTATATTCATCAGTTCCGCCTAACACTAAAATTCCTCTTAATGTAAGTCAAGAGATCTTACTCCTCGTTTTACTTCAGGTCATATACCTATGCGCATTACTAGCACAATGCGTACTGTGGCATTTACGCATGTCAGTGTCGAATAAAACTCCTTTCTCTTACTACGACTGCTACTACTCTTACTACTTACACCACAAACGATACTGGAAGCAGGCCACCAATTCGACTTCTCGGGCACACAGATAATGGCGCGAGCCAGTAATAAGACTGGTCGAGAACTGCTGGAAGCCTGGGTGTCAGATCCTAACTCTATCAACAGGCATGTGGATATACCGCCCTGTTCCTTTTCCATCCGTACTCGCGTTCGGCAACCGCGGCCCAGTTCCCGTACAAACATGCAGGCTGTCACTTCAAGGTCACACGCCACAACTACAGGGACGCGCGTAGACGACACACGATAGGACAGCGTGAGCATGGACGTGGCGTGGGCATTGACCAATCACAAGTGCGAACCCCCCTTCCCACCTCCATTTACGCATCGCTAACTCTTGCTGTTTCTCACTTTCTCTGACGATGGCTTCTAGTGTTTAGTCGAAAGCTCAGATGAACAAAATTACCGTTCCAGAGATCGCGTCTTCTGCTTCTTTACAAACGATACTAATAAACGAAAGCAAATATTGCTAATATGACCGCTACTACTACCACAAATATTGCTGCTAAAAATTACATGACTAGTATAAGAGAAAGTAATATTCATGCTAATAATTAAAACTGTTAGTGAAAAGTTTTTTATTTCATAGCTTGTCATATTAAACTGTCTCCAGGGATCTTCTTAACAACAGTAACACTACTTTTTTTAAAATTTTAGCTACTACCAACTGTTACCTTCTGGTATTTCGTTACTATTTCAAAATGCGGATGGTCAGCATACCGAATGTATCAGAATAGGAATGGTTGATTCCTTGCCCCAATTAACTCTGCGCAATTTAGGACCCGACGACCTGAAATCTAAACATATGTGAGTCCTCTCATAAGTACTTACACGATGACGCGAATCCCATAGCGATAGGTTCTGCAGGTGG